CTGAACTGCTGAATTGCTATCTGCGCATGCATCGTCGCGCACGTACATAAGTATATAGGCAATGATTGGATGAACTCTCCTTATCGTCAAAATCAACCAATGAAACCCGCATTCCACAGTACCCCCATTGTACATAGATTTTGTAGCCATTTACTACGCTGAAATCACGCGAGCTAGCGGTCTAGTGTAGTATATAGATAGAATCTGTGGCTGAAACCGTCGTAAAAAACTACAATAGGATGGCCGCTCTCAGGTTTCTCTCTGGTAACATATTGTAGTTCAAAGAAAAATAAGATGATCTTTGATTATTTATGTGCAATGTCGAGAGAAAATGAAATTACTATACAAAGATGTTTTTTTCGGGTTTGAATCGCGTTAGCGTCATTTTTTTTTTTTTTTTTTTTTTTTTTTTTTTTTTTAATAGTTTTTTATAGTTTTTTTTATATTTTTTTATAGCAGTATCAGGCTGCTCTTTAAACCCTGATGAAGTGAGCTGTAATGTTCACGAAACGTCGGTATAAAAATGACACTAACGCGGTTCAAACCCGAAAAAACATCTTTGTATGTTAATATTACACACCGCGAAAGCATCAAATAATGTAATTACTAGTAGAGAAAAATTCTCGTATATAAAAAGTATTCTATATTACTAAGATATTTTGTATTCAAGATTTTTTCGGCAAAGTGAAAGATCAAATCGGACAAAATTAAATTATTATTAAAAATGGTCTTTTTCTTCAAAAGATTACTTTAATTACACGTACATTTTTTTATAGAATGAGATATCTCGATTGCACTTGTTAATACAAATTAACTAAATGTGACGCAAATAGACAACGTCCTAATTTCACGCACGTTTCTCGCACATTTCCGTCCCGTTATTGATTCAAATGCGCAAAACACCGAGCAATGACGACGCGAGACGCGACAATTACGGAAATGCGGACGGGATCGTTAGTGGTATGACGAGCGAGCTTCCTTGTCGACGTGTTCGTTTGAAAAATCCAACACAAAGCTCTCGGAAGTAAAACTGTACTTATCCAGTAAAACTTGGGCAGTATGGTTATACTAAATATTTCTTTGTGACTAATCGCTTCGGAGGGTGGAACGATCGCCTCGCAAGGCGCATCCTTCAAAACACCTTCCGAACACGAGCGTGCAAATACGGAACTCGCAACGCTGTGCAAGGTAAAGACACCATACATAGGTAAAAACATACTCTTCAAGTTTTTATAAGTATTTTACATTACATTTTGTATCGTTTCTGTTTGGTAATTATTCACCGGAACTATAAAGTCACATATAACATTACACATTCATACAAAATAGAACAAAAAATGAAGCACAAACAAAAGAATATTTAAAAACATTAATAATATTAATTATTGTTTCGTGCTTGTTGTATTATGTTTAAATAAAAAGATAGAGAGAAAGCAATAACGATCTACACCTGATGTTCGGGTAAAATTAAAGAAGAACTTTACCCGAACATCAGGTGTATCGTTATTGCCTTCTCCCTATCTTTTTATTAATAATATTATTATTTATTTATATGTAATCAAAATATTTTTCACTTTGTAATGTATCTTTTTGGAAAGCAACACAATTAATCTCGCAAATATGCATTTAATTCAAACTTTTACAGTGTTTTTTTTATGCATACATAGGTGTATCCCGTGAGCCCTGCGGCAGGGCCGGGTGCGGCGCGATCGGTATGGGAACTAAGTCCCGATCCCGACATGGTCGGGCATCTACCAAACAATCCAATATCAGCTCACCAGAATCACGGCTCAGGCAAGGGTATGCGGCAAGGCAGTCGTCCCGATGATACCATCTACACCGACGAAAGTGCTAGTCACAGTCTCACTGATGAGACTAAACAGATCTTCGAGTTGCTCAGAGCCGGGTTAGATAATATTTGATATATATATATTCGATTCCCAAAAACTTATTTTTGCTTAGCATAAAAAAATTTATCTGAAAACAGAAGAATTACAGAAGTTAAAGAACCTTTATAAAGATTTATTTGTTATTGTAGTAAAATCGAGGCAGTCGAAGAATTGATTGAGAAAGCCGGGTTGAATGTGCTCAGCGCACGGAACGAGTGGGGTTATACACCTGCTCATTGGGCTGCCTTGGATGGCAATATGCAAGTTAGTTTATGAATATGTGTGTATATATGTGTGCGTGCACACACACACACACACACACACACACACACACACACACACACACAGAGAGAGAGAGAGAGAGAGAGAGAGAGAGAGAGAGAGAGTGAGAGAGTGTGTGTGTGTGTGTGTGTGTATGTAGTAAACTGTCGGACGTCAGAAATGATTCTCGTCCGGAATCGGNATATATATATATATATATATATATATATATGTATATATACAGAATGTATAAAAAGTACCGGTACCGCAAAAAATCTCGAAAACTAGGCTTTTTACGAAAAAGTATTTCAGATAAAAGTTGTAGGGTTTTAAAGGATCTATTTATTGGTCTTATCAGTTTGACCTTGAATGACATCTGATATTTGATGCTTTCGCGGTGTGTAGTATTAACATACAAAGATGTTTTTTCGCGTAGTGTCATTTTTATACCGACGTTTCGTGAACATTACAGCTCACTTCATCAGGGTTTGAAGAGCAGCCTGATACTGAGGGCAGCTATAATCTGCAATTAAAAAAATAGGGAGTTTCATTTAAAAAAATCGATGTGACCTTGATCTGACCTTAACAATGCTGGTCACACTGATACAATCAGTAAATAGATCCTTTTAAACCTTACAACTTTTATCAGAAACACTTTCGTAAAATGCCTAGTTTTCGAGATTTTTCACGGTATCGATACTTTTTATACACTCTGTATAATAAATTATAGATATAAATAGATATACATATAATAAATTTCAACATGTTTGTGTTAAAACTTATAAAGCGCGTTGAAAAATTTTTCTAATAGGTGATGAGATATTTGATAGAACGAAGTGGACCTGTTGATTTACCTTGTCTCGGTACACAAGGACCTAGACCGATACACTGGGCTTGTCGGAAAGGTCACAGTGCGATAGTGCAGTTATTATTGACGGTATATACAAACAAAAACAGTTCTAAAGCTGATTGAAAAAAAGTTGTGCACTCATCTTATATAGCATCGCGGTTCTTTCAGGCAGGAGTTGCAGTCAATGCAGCAGATTTTAAAGGTCTAACGCCCCTGATGACCGCTTGCATGTTCGGCAAATTCACAACGGCCACTTTCCTGCTAGGATCCGGCGCGCAAGGGCACCTGACCGACATAAACGGCGACACCGCGCTGCATTGGGCTGCATACAAAGGCCATGCAGAACTGATTAGACTGTTGATACACAGTGGAATGGATCTAGAGAAGCCAGATTATTTTGGCTCGACGCCGCTTCATTTGGCCTGTCTGTCCGGTAATATCAGCTGCGTGCGGATTCTCTGCGAGAAAAGCAAAATCGAATTGGAGCCACGCGACAAAAATGGCAAAACACCGTTGCAGTTGGCCAGGAGTCATCGTCACTGGGAAATCGTGCGCGTTCTGCAAGCGGAACAGAAACGTCGAACGAAGTGTATACCATCTATCAGTGAGCTGTGGTTCGTAGTCATATTATATTCTCTATAAAGTACAAAAATATATTAGGAAACGAATATATATAAAAGGAACACTCAGAAATATAAAAAAATACGTTTTTAAGGACGTTGTTGTTTGGCGGAGCCGGCAATAGCAAAACACCGCTGCTGTTTTTCCTAATGTCTGTCCTGCTGTGGAGATATCCGATGTATCTATTGAAATGTATTCCGTTGACATGGCATCATCTGCTGGGCAAGCACTACTGTTTCATTTGCTGGAACATTCTCATGTGGATCTCGTGGATCGTAGCGAATAGAAGAGACCCTGGTTACGTGACACAAAATAACGACAGTTATTATAGAGTGATAAAACAGGTTTTATTGCACGCGTTACAAAATAATCGTAGCGGGCGACTGTTGTGTTGCCCAACTTGTATTATTACAACTATGTCATTTCAGATTCCATGTTTTGATAAGTGGAAAAAACGAAACGTTTTGCTGTCGCGATTGTGCCATAGTTGCAAATGCTTTACGCCTCTTCGCGCGGAACATTGCAGGATTTGCAACAGATGCGTCACGTATTTTGATCACCATTGTCCGTTCGTTTACAATTGCGTCGGCCTGAGAAATAGGTACTGACAAGAAGAATGTCCGATGTGTGACCAATCGATTTCGTCGAAACTTTTTGTATCGATAGGTCACTATGTCAAGTGTTATAGGGTAAATGCATAAGAAGCACTACTCAAGCGTTCACGAGAAAATTGCAATTAAAAGTTTTCGAGCGACATAAGTAGATATGAAATAGAGCGTTTTACCAAAGTGCGTGTGGCGCAGCGGTAGTGCGCTAGACTAGTGGTAGCGGTAGAACGCTGCTGATTCGAGTCTCGGTAAGTAGTTTTTTTTTTTTTTTCAAATACAATTAATTTGTGTAATATAATGCAATTATTATTCAAAATAAATGTGATAACAAATTATTTATTGTATTTATAATTAATAATAACATCGGAAGAGTCAATGCTATATAAATAAATGAGAAACGTGTTTTATTTAACTGCAAGAAGACACATTACATGTTGCTGGATGAAATTTATCATATAAACAATAAAAACAATATTTTTGTCGACAATGTGTCGCATCGTACAAACGCTGCAGTTTTACAAGGTGGTTTTAAAATAAAAGGTGGTTTCTAATCGGAAACAAACTTCATTTAAATTCATGAAAATTTCTCTTTTATCTGTTAATTTGGACGCAAACCATGCATATCTTAACATATTTGTAAAAATTGGAGCGGACAATTGATGATATATAATAGAATGAATTTTGATACAATCCTCGCGAGATAATATTTCACGCTGGTGTTCTAGAATCTACGCGTAGCAACAAGACTAAATTAGGCAATAGTCACAACGTAAAATATCGATTTTCAATACAGGCAGTAAATCAAAACGCAGAAAAGATTGTTTTCTACCTGCTTCAAAAGTAATGGTCGAATACTATAAGAACATGTGGCTGCTTTACAAAACACGTTTCACATTTATTCGTACAGCACTGACTCTTCGATGTTATTATTAATTATAAACACAATAAATAATTTATTAATTACATTTATTTTGAATAATAATTGTATTATATTATACAAATTAATTGTATTAAAAAATAAAAAAATTACTCACCGAGACTCAAACTAGCAGCGTTCTACCGCCACTACTAGTCTAGCGCGCCACCGCTGCACCCTCTTCAGTAAAACGCTCTATTTCATATTTACTTATGTCGCTCGAAAACTTTTAATTGCGATTTTCTTGAACGCTTGAGTGCATCTATGCGTTTACCCTGTAACACTTGGCATAGTGACCTATCGATACAAAAAGTTTTGACGAAATCGATTGGTCACACATCGTGCATTCTCCTTGTGAGTCATATCCGCGACTTGTTCGAGTTTTTAAATATTTTGTCCGTCCTCAGAATGTGGTTCTTTCTGTTCGTTATGTGTATGACGATAAACTGCTCCTTCACCGTGTACTTTGCGTGTCACTGCATAGTGATCGAAGGAATTCAACTGCTTTACATTCTTGCCGTGTTGGAGGCTCTTGTTTTTTGCGGACTTGGCTTGATTCTAACGTTCTTTTCGGTAAATATGTAACATTATTTATATAACACACTTTCAACACGAAAGTTTTCTATTCATTATTCTTTCACAACAGGTGCTGCACGCTTGTATGAATTTGACTACCAACGAAATGTTCAATTACAAAAAATACTCATACTTAAAAGACAAGAAGGGCAAGTATCTGAATCCCTTCAGTCGAGGACCTATGTTTAATTTCATCGAATTCTTCCTTTGTCCGCCGGATCGTGAAGCAAATGATTTTCAGCATTATCATATTTTTTCGGAGGACATTATGCAATAATGAATAATGTACGGATTTGCAAATGATTTGTTTCGTGCACTTTTCGCGGAGAAGTGAGTCAAGTGCGATCATTATTACTTGCGCATAAATAATATACTGCTTTTATTTTTGCACTACATGTACGTACATTTGCACGCATAAAACATATATATATATTCCTATCAGGGTACATATATATATATATATATATATATACATATATATATGTACCCTGATAGGAAAACATTTACAAAATTATGTGGCAAAATCTTGCACTAAAATTGTAATTTGCAATTATATAGATATATTGTAGGAAATAGATGTAAAAACATTGATCTTTTATAAAATATTTGTAGTTGTTTGCGAAATTACTTTCCAAATACTATTTCGGCAAAAGAAGTAACGATATGGCGAATCATCTTAGCAGTATATTTGCAAAATTAATTTCAAAAAGAAATTGTTCAATACTTGAGAAAAAAATTTCAGCTATGTGATGTTTAAAATATATAAAAATATAATTGCATATAAAGAAATCAACGTAATTCATATATACAGGGTGTCCGACAATTACTTTAACATCTCTCGTAGACAGATAGAAGGAGTAAAACTGAGTCGTAAAGTCCTGAACCATTTTTTCTATTACATATAATAAAGGAGTAATTATTGAATAAATCAAGCCAATCAGAGCCGACCTTTAGCCGGGCTCACGTCAGTGAGCCGCGCGGACGCTCACGCACACCAGACGTGTGGTTCACTGACGTGCGTTCGGCTAAAGGTCGGCGCTGATTGGCTTGATTTATTCAATAATTACTCTTTTATTATATGTAATAGAAAAAAATGGTTCAGGACTTTTCGACTCAATTTTACTCCTTCTATCTGCCTACGAGAGATGTTAAAGTAATTGTCGGACACCCTGTATACTTATGGAAATGCATAACGACTTTTTCGGAATTTTTGACAAATATTATTTACAAAATTTTATTTCGACTAAACTGTTGCGTTATGGCGAATCATCTTAGTGCAATCATTACAGGATTGTCGTTATTCATGATGCCATTTTTGTGCAATATTTTCACAATTTGCCTATTAGGGTATATATATATCCAAACTGTCAAGACCTTGCTGGGCGCAGACTGCAATAGCGATCATAAGTTTCTGCGGCTAAAATATAAGACTAAGCTTTCTGTAGAGTAAAAAAGACTATTATCAAAAAATTTCCATCAATAAGTGACGCGGATGCTCTGAGAAACAAGATGGAAGAGAAAAAAAACTAACGCCAGTAGTGGCGAGCATAAACAACTATACCCCAGACGAGCTATGGAAACAAGTAGAAAGAGTCATCGTAGAGGCGATAAGAGAAACACAGCCAAAACCGAGTCAACATAAATACCCATGAATATCACAGGAAACTTTGGAGTTAATTGAGGAGAGGAGATCGCTGAGCAGACAAGGCTTAGATAAAAATGCGATCGCAACACGATACAGACGTCTCTCATCCCTTATCCAAAGGAAATGCAGGCAAGATAAGAATGCATATTTAAACAACTTATGCATCGAGGCGCAGAAACATGCCGATAAACTGCAGCCTCGTGAACTGTTCAAAAAATCAGATGCATCACGCATAAATTCAAACCCAAAAACTGGGTTATACTTGATAATAATAACAACTTAATCACAGACCTCGACAGAATAATAGAAGAATGGCGCAAATACTGTGAACAACTATACGATAATGGTCTCGATAATGAAACAATAAACGCTGAAGTCCGTTGCAACGCGAAACCTAGCACTATGATAGAAAAGGTAGAAGCTGCCAGAAAGCAAAGTAAGAATAAAGCACCGGGCTTCCGTAGATGCGATACCTGCGGAAGTCTTTATGGAAACAGGCAAGACGGCGTAAGGGCCGTGCATCACCTGTGTCAGCTTGTATGGACAACGACAGAGTGGCCGAAGGACTGGATCACTTCGGTTATTGTACACCTTCACAAGAAAGGATCCACCACTCAATACAACAACTATAGGCTAATTGCTCTAATATCTCATGCGAGCAAAATTTTATTGCAGGGAATACGCTCTAGGCTGGATCGGTTTATTAGCTGGCAAATCGCTTCTGAACAGGCAGGCTTTGTCAGAGAACGAGGAACAAGGGAACAAATACTAAACATACACCAACTTATCGAAAAGGCAAGAGAATTCAACACTTCCATGTATCTCCGTTTTGTAGATTATGAAAAGGCTTTTGACAACGTACAATGGCACCGACTTTGAGCGATTCTGGAGGATGAGTGTCCTAAAACACTTAGTAACGCTGATCATTAACCTGTACAAAAACAGCCAGACGATTGTGCGGTTGGACTATGTTTATGGTGACCATATTTTTTTGGAGAAAATAAAGGACAACTTAGAAATTGTTTCATATTAAAGAGCAAATTTGTTTGTTTAATTAAAATTAAAATCCTTTTTAACACTTCTTATAAAATATATATAAGTATATATATAATATATAGCATTTTCAACAATTATATTACTTAAATATTATTACTTTAAAAAATATCATATTATCATAAAAATACACCCAGCAAACATTTTGGTTACAAAATCATATCCATCTGTGTCCTCAGTAGGATATGGTTTGGTAACCATGTCTGTCAACATGTGAAATGTCAAAATGCGATCAAAATGATGACAGTCTGCCACAAGCAAAGCCAAATTATCGCCAAAGTGAAGCCAAAATCCGGAATAGGTTTGGTCATCGTCTGTTGGCACCAAATTGCAAACAGTCCGCACGTATACACGAACAGACCTGCTTGGCGTTTGGTGGCAATCTGTCGTCAATGCGTTTAACAGATCGACCCGACTTTTGTCGTAAACAGATCTCTGGTATGGTTTTGCGAACTGTTTGGTCACAGTATTGCTAAAAGCAAATCTGCTTGCAATCGACCATCTATTTGTTGTCAATTTCACTGACATATATGGAATCGTTTTGACCGTAATACTCTCATGTATTTATCAACAGAGTTGTTGCGTTTTTTCTTTCTGTGTGCTAACAGTTTTGGCAGTGTTTCCGTATTGTAGCATTTTTACAAAGAGTTTCTATTGCCAAGGTCTGCGCCGAAATTGTCAAGAACAAAAATTGTTTGCTGGGTATTATTAGTCAAAAAAATTTAATAGTGATACTTTTCAAAAGAATGAACTTTTTTGAATAAATCAGGTGTCTGTTTTAAAAAGTCATAAAACTGTATACAGTTCATATCAAAGTTGCATTTGATATAAATGCATGCTTCCAATGGCCACGTTCAGCAGACTGAGCAGATCAGTGATCGCTTGGTGATTCTTTAATATGATTGAATCTTGCCTTTAGATCTTTAATGGATCTAAGTGTAGAAACCAATCATATTGAAGAATCACTAAGCGCTCACTGATCTGCTCAGTCTGCTGAACATGGTCAATGTTTCAATTTTGTAGTAATCAATACATCGATACATCGATATCGACTACTATCGAATGTCATTAGCAACCGATACACAATCATTCATTTATTGTCAACAAATATATATCTTGTTCAGTTGTGTATCAGGCATTCCAAGTTCATTCATGTAATCATTCACACGTTCAAATAAACCGACTCTAGTTTTATTAAAAAGAACAAAGTTAATTTATTTTTGTGAGTGAACAAACATAACAGTTTTTGGCGACGAGGATTATGGAAGGTCTCCGTGAAATTTTAACGCCGTTGTTGCAACAGCAACAGCAGCAGTTTCAGCAGCAACAGCAGCAGTTTCAGCAGCAACAGCAGCAGTTTCAGCAGATGATGCAGCAGCAGTTTATTGCTCAGCAACAGGAATTTGCGAAACAAATTGCCAAGATTCTCAATGCTCCTTCATCCGCACCTGTAGACCTGGAAACTAAAATAGATGCGTTAGCCAATGCAATCACAGAATTTATTTACGATCCGGAGAATGGTTTGACTTTTGATGCATGGTATGTACGTTACCGAGGATTATTTTCCGTTGATGCCCGAGCATTGGACGACGCAGCAAAGGTCAGATTACTCCTACGTAAATTAAGCATGACAGTTCANACGAAGTATGTTAACTACATCTTGCCAAAAGAATATACAGATTTCGATTTTACTGATACAATTAAAAATCTTACCGAAATGTTTGGAAAGAAAATATCGCGTTTTCATCAGCGATATAATTGCATTAATGCGTCGAAATTAGATCAACACGATTTCTTAACATATGCTGGCTTGGTTAACAAACGGTGTGAAGAGTTTCAAATCTCAA